TGTAAATCTTTTGTGATTTATTGATACATTTTTCGTAAGATTTTTGAGTATTGATGATATTTACTTTTACACTCTTTTGTTTTCTGAGTGTAGAATCTCATACGCAAGGATCTCTTTGTTTTTAAGCTACTTCTTAAGCCTCTTGTTATCCATTTTAAATTTCGTTTCTTTGTGATAAGCCGTTTTTGAAATGCAGGAAAACATAAATTATAAAAAAGGCAAAAGTCGTCGTAGAAGAAATCGAACGCTACATTTAGGTTAGTATTGGAAAACGCATCCTTAAAACTCAAACTTTGAAGACATTCACAAAATTTTTTAACATTTTCTTTTGAGTAATCACGCCTGGTTACCGTTATCTTGGTAGGTTGCGAAATATCTTTTGCCATAGGGATGCTTAAAAGTTGAGCGTCGTGATCAGAGAGACCCAGTTTCAGAACTTCACCTTTAGCTTGTTTCATATTACATATTACATGGTCAATACAAGTATTAATTCTAGTCGGTTCTTTTATCAGAGAAGTCAAATTATAATTTCGTAAAATGTCATTTAAATTTTGCACAATTCTATTATTAATAAGTATATTTATATTTAGGTCTCCTACAAGTAGCAGTTTGCGTTTTATATTGTGATAGCATAAGAGTTTGAACATCAATGTATCAAGGTGCTTTAAAAAGAGGTCTACATTTGACTGAGGTGTTCGATATATACATATTATAATTAGTTGTAATTTATTGATTTCTATACCACAACACTCAAACACTCTCTCTCGTGAAAACGATCTTATGCCTAACAATTCATTATATTTAATACCTTTTTGAATATATATGCAAACTCCCCCTCTTGATTTTGATCTACAATATATTGCTCCTAATTCGTATCCAGTTAATCTGGAGTTCCGTATGTCTGCATCTTTTAAAAATGTTTCAGAGAAACATAATACCTCAGGTAGTTTATTATTGTTATGAAGATCCGTAAGTGTTATTTCAATCAGGTCTTTTTTATATACTAAGCCAGCAATATTCTTAGACTATAAACCATTGATATAATACTTACATAGATGAGTAATTACCGCCTAAAATCGTTGCTACTGCACATCTGTCCACAGGCATATGCGTAGCAAACGTCAATTCAGTGTTCAATGTGGCGTCAACCGAGTTGAACATAGCGACACATGACAGTAACAATCGCCAAAATGGGTAAATGCGTAGTGAAAGAATGCGATTCAAGGTCACAAAACCATAATAAATCATGCGGAATTATTTATCACGTGTAAGTTTATGGTTTTTGTATTGATAATATCGTAAATAAGGCTATAATTGAAATAAAACATTGATAATTGTAATTTAGAATCAGTGTTACCATTAAAAAAACATTTTTGTTTTCCCACATTAGTGGGAGAATTTATAATTTATGAAATAATATGCTTTATACTGTTTTTAAACATTTTGTCAATAATAATAAAATATAGGAAGAACGGTAGTTGTTAGGGCTGAATCGATCACTTTCTTTAGTTGAACGTTCACCTTCTGCCAAGCTCGCAGTGCTGGAGACTTTTGTATAAAATAATTAATTAATTCATTCATTCATTTTTCATAATTAATTATCAAATATAAATAACAATTGTACAAAAAAAAATATATATATAAAATAAAAAAGTAAATAAATATAAATAAAAAAAAATAAAAAACAAAAAAAAAAAATATATATATTTTATAATTTTTTTTTTATTTCTATTTTAAAATATTAAAAGAATTTGCAATACACCCTGGGGATTATTTATTATAAGTACAAGTTGATCATTCACTTTTACTATTAAATGTAATTATTTATACATAGGTAAAAATAAGATTGTATCATGAAAGTAAAATATTCACACAAACTTATAAAAAGAGTCTAAAAGACAATTGTATACAAAACTGATGCTTCATAGCGGAGTTTGATTTTACACTGAATATAAACCCTTTTAACCAAATATTTCTAGTTATTTTATTATTTATACCTATTCCATTCAATTCGAAATATTTTATTTAAATTAATTTATTTCATTACAAAATTGTTTTAAAAAAAAATTGTTTCTTGGTTGTTATGGGTAAAATTTCATACGGTAGTCAACACTGGCCCACCATCGTAAAGTTATGTCTTTGTCTTTGTCTAATCCGAGCGATGGTATTGTTCTTGTCTCGCGTGTAAATGAGACATAAATATGTTTACTTTCAAATGTTTAGTGGTATCAAAGCTACGTCGTCAAAGTTCAAAAGTGGTTACACTTTTTTCGACGTGTGATAATGAGGTTTGCTTCTCTAGTGTTGTTTTAACTCAATGCTATAAACCATTTCTTCGTTAGGGAAATCAAAGACAGCCGCGAAAGTATTTGAATATATCGATAGATGGCATTAGTGCCTTTGTGGTTCTTGCTACTTTTTCGACGAATATTGGGAGAACAGAGTATGATTGGTAAGTAGTGACCCCGCGCCCGCATGAGTCAGTCGTGACTACACCAGCTTAAAGGTATTAATGACAATTTTTATTCACGTATATTGAAAAAACAAAGTGCCATTATAACGCTCAAATAATTAAATTATATTTGTACCTGGTGCGACATAGTCACAAGTTACGACTTTTTTTTTTGTTTCCCTTTTTTTTTCAATTTTCTAATAAAATCAAAGAAATCTTTTTACATGATACTGTAGTTAAAAGAACAAATAATATAATTTGATGAGATATCCCGGCTGCTGTAGGTAGTAATCTAGAAAAAAGGAAAATTGTTCGAAAAAAACTTAAAAGTCCGTTCCTGTAAAATTACAAAATGACCTGTTGTGACTTTGTTGCACCGAGGGTGCGATATAAAAATGCTACGACCGATGATCCCAAACATATATGTAAACTACTTTTCCGACTTCATCTGTCTTTGAGCCCAAATTTGATATTGATAATATCCGTGATGATGTCAATCACAGCTCAGATGTACTAATTAGCAATGTAAGTTTGACACAGGATAAGATACTGAAAGAATTAGGTGCATTGGATCCCACCAAGGGAGCAGGTGTAGATATCCCGCTTATTTTCTTCAAACAACCAGCCCCGTCAATATGTCCACCCCTACAACTGCTGTTTAAGTGTAGGTATCTTTCCTGCTATTGGGAAGTCTGCGCGAATTGTACCCGTGCAGAAAGGAGGCAATAGAAGCGATATTGAGAATTACAGGCCAATATCAATATTACTCACTCTGTCAAAAAGATTAGTTCATAACAACATTTATCCATTTTTATATAAGCACATAATAGAACAACAGTATGGCTTTGTATCACGACAATTGAACGAACTACTCATTTATTAATATGTCTTATTTAGTCGAAGCGTTAGATCGTAATGTACAAACAGACAATATTTATACTGGATTTTCGAGAAACTAGCCTTTAACGGTATCCGAGAAAATTTATGGCGTTGGTTTAAGTCTTAATACATACAATAACATAACAAATCGGACTCAAAAAGTTATGCTTAAGGGCTATGAATCATAGTTCACGATTTTCACTGCAGTTTTTCGAACAAATGTTTGTAAACGTTCACCATATTACAGAATTGCCGATAGCTATAATAATCATTTTGTTTATTGATATTTTGAATAACAATTAAATTTATGAGGAAATGACATTTACAATAAGGATTGTTTTTTTTATCAGTATGTTTACTAAAATATGAGTAGGTAATTAGATTTATCTTCTACTTACGATTCACCAAGAAATATGAGGAAGGATTGACACCTCGTTTAAATTGACATATTTTTATTTTTCAAAATTTTAAATCAGTTCTACACAAACTTGTACAACTTCTACTAAATCTAGATAGTAGTTTTTTATTCACGATTAAGAACCTCAATCCTCACGCACATTAGTTCAGTTAACGCTAATTATTATTATTAAAGATAATTATTAATTTTATTAATTATTTTTTTTTATTTATTACAAATAAGAATTAAATATTATCATCAATAATTTGAGTTATTTACTTACCTGATTATATTTATTCGCAAGTGGTTATAAAACATATCAGGGTTAACTTGGTCAAACATGTAGAATTGCATGTGAATTATGTAATTATATTATCTCGAAATACGATAAGTGCCATGACGGTTTTTGAAGTGCAAACAAAGTTATTGGCCATTGCCTACTTGTTACTCTTTGTAACAAACAGTTTTGTTTAAAGCAGGATATAAAACACAGTAAATATAAAAATGTTTATTATAACTCTGATATTAAATAACATAACCTCTAAAACACATTATATTTAAACAATCTTGCTCTTTGCTATGATTTTATTGTGAAGCTTCGAAGCTACCTGCAATACAAAAAAAAATTGAGGTCCGCAGTAAACTTTTAATAATATTGTAACAAGCCATTTATAACTTCTTGGGCCAATAATAATATGATAAGAATAAATAATAACGGAGCGTGGTCGTGTGGGAAGTCGTTGGATGCGGGTAGCACGAAACCGCTTGTTGTGGCGAAGCTTAGGGGAAACCTGTCTAGCAGTGAACGCTTTTCGGCTGAGATGATGATGAAACAAGAACAATAAATAATACTTAAAAATGAATAACGAAACGGTATGAGCAAGTAGCAGAAATGAATACAGAAGCAATGTCAAAACAAGTTTATAACATAGATGTGACTGGGAAAGTCAGTAGGTGTCAACAACGAAAACCATACTCTGTTTGAATTGGTAATGTTTTAATATAAGAACAGGTCAGAAACGAAACCACCAAACTTGTTTATACAAGTTTGGTGGTTTCGTTTCTAGGCATTCAGCCAGTAGATGACTTCCCGCAAATTACATGTATTTTACACATGTATTGTGTGTAAAATAGTGTATTATATCTCTCTAGCTCTCTGTTGATGAAATAAACACCTACATCTACTAGAGGTAGTGGTGTCACAGCTTAAGACATTAAATAATTGTAAAAACCCTCTAAACTAAATCTCACCTTTATTATCCAATATGTTTATTATGGTGAAGTCTTCAAACTGTAAAAAAAAAATGAAATGAAAAAAATAATATTCACCAATATTCACACACTTCAGATTCCTAATGACACATTTTTGCCAACCATACCTTTGCCCTTTTAAAACCAGATGAAGTAAAGATTAATATCTCTATTTTACCTACACTTTCGAAAATACTAGAAAGGTTATTGAATAACAGGCTTACTAATTTTTCTCATTTTTATCGACATTGCCAAGGTTTTCGACACGGTCTCTGTTCCCGTACTTGTTGACAAACTTGAGCGCATTGGTATAAGAGGAGAACAGCTCTCCTTTCTCAGAAGCTATCTTAGTGGTAGACGGCAATGTCTTAAAATAGGGAACTGAACAAGTAATGAACTACCTATAACCTACGGCGTGCCACAAGGCAGTATTCTTGGCCACACATTGTTCATTTTCTATGTCAAGAAACTCTGCCGTCTCAACCTTCTAAATAGTAGTATCTTCATCTACGCTGATGATACCGTTCTGATATTTAATGGCTCCACCTGGAAAGCTGTCCTCACTTCCGCTCAGCTAGGCTTTAACACCGTTACCAAATGGCTGGACGTAAACCATTTAACCCTGAACACTGACAAAACCAACTACATAACTTTCTCTTTAACAACAAGAGGTCAGTCTCCTTTCGCATTATACAAGCTGCCTGCTCACTAATGGGATCTGTCCACCGACACATTAATACACTTACTTCTAGTCTTAGAAAAATGGTATATATTTTCTCCCATCTTCGGTTCGTTGCCAATGAAAAAGAGACTCTTGTATCTGGCCCTTTGCTAATCCCTCAACTCAACTCAATTTTGCATTGTTACCTGCAGAGGTGCCACCAAAACCCACCTTCTAAAACTTGAGCGTGCTCTAAGGGCACTCTTAAAGGTGGGGGTGGACCCTTCCCTTTTGCTTTCCAACTGCTGGCCTATTTAAGACCTGCGATGTTCTCTCGGTTCGAGCCTTGTTCATTCGCACTATTATTTCAACCACTCATTCGAAAACACATTACAACCCAGATTACAAAGTAACCAACATACGTAAACATGCTATTCACCCTCCCAGATTGATTTACAGTAGCCTGGCTCAAAGAAGCTTCTGCTTCCTTAGAGATTACTTGTTGAACAAGGTAAATAAAGTTATTTTCATATATCCACTGACAAGTGATGAATGCAAAATGGCTGCTACAAATTGGCCAATAGGCTTGAGCTATGATGAGACGGAAAATCTTTTACAAATAATTTGCATACGCACACCCACACACGTGCACTCCAATTAATCATCGTTCCACGCGCTTCACGCACTACGGTCTACGTTATCTATCATACCAAGCGCGCGCGCACACTTAAACACTCGCATATGCACAATCACTTACACTCTACACATACACTACACACTTACCTTAAATCTCAATTATTATTAACATTAATAGATTGACCATAGTTTATATTTTCATTGTAGGCGCAGTAACACTGTTTTAAAGTTTTGATAATTGACATTTTTCGGCAGTAGGGTGGGTCTGAAGATCTGTCATACAGGTTCTAAGCCTAGTATAGACTAAGGAACTTTATACATGTAATTCGATACCCTGTAACCTACAGTAGGTTACCGGTTACCGTCAAACAAAATTTACTGTTACTACTTTTTTTTATCAAATTATAATATGGTAACCAGTAGCCTTTTTGACCTTCTCTTCTAAAAACAAGATAAGACGTGATAAAAAGCAATATATGTTATGTTCAAAATATGAAGTTCTTACAAGAGAGTGTTAGGTCCAAATTTTTGAATGCATGCATCCATAAATTCGTCAATAAACTCATAGTACTCGTTGCCTCGTACTCGTCTTTGTTTTATTCCCACGTACGATGGATCTTCTAAAAGTGACTGAAAAAATTACAATACACGTTTTCATAACTATAGCTATCCATATAATATTAAAAACTCAATTGGTAATTTTTTAATTTGCCAATCAGTATCGTTAAGATATAAATCCACTCCTAACGCATAAACGTTAACTTACCTGGATTGGTTAAGAATAATAATATGTTATAAAATTATAATATTTTTAAAAACATGCCTAAAGACTCCAAGTACATCGAAACTTCTGCTGATTTCAAAACCACCTACTGAAGTCATTACGAGTTACGGAATAACGTTATCAATAAGATTCCCTGTTCGTATTCGATAGTGGAAACTTAATAATTAAGTAGTAATCTTATATTAAGTACCAAATTGTCGGTGCCGACATCCAATGTGATAGGTAAACACTGGTGAGGCTTTATTCCGGCTAGCGCAGTGTACAATGCGAGTTTGCTCATGGGGATCCCCATTCCTAAAGCGCCTCGATCGGCCGGATCCTCACAATCCAAGATTCTTCCACTCTCTGTCACTATTATGACTTTAATTTCTTTGTCAGGCCTAAAATACAATATTAATGTAATTTTATATATAATATTATACAATATAAAATTATTAATTACAATAAGTATCTTTTTGTGATGTCATAAGAATAGCTCTTACTAAACGCATTTGAATGTTTATACCGTACTTATACGAGTATGTCCCACAGAAACAATGTTTTGTATATGTGTTTGTTTGTTTATTTTAGTTAATCTTGTTAGCGGGCTTACCAATGAATGAAAATTAGCATCATTTTATCTAAAGGTAAACTATGTATGCAATAGACAAATGGAGTGTGAACTATGTTAGCTGCTGTCGAGAGGTCGCCAGGCAGAAATAAGAACTTACTAATAATCTCCAAAAGCAGTTAAAATATTATTTCTCTCAAAAATTGATTTAATCAAAAAACATATCTGCGGATTCTAAGGGATGTATCTTAAATTATAATAGTCTTTTAAGATTAAAGTTGAATGAAGTTTATCATTATCACTTATCCTGTTCAGTCTCCTTATTTATAGATAGATAAATAGATAAAATAGATAACTCTGTATTTGTACTCCATAGTTACAGTTTAAGTATCATAGATAGTTGTATCAACGGCCTTATTGCTATAATAAATCTCTTCCAGGCAACCTTTGGATGCATTAGGAATATTAGACAGGAGTAGTTAGTGGTGTATGGAGTTTTAGAGAACCTGTAATTACCTACTCACAAATATATTTAATACTTTAAAGTACCTATTAATATCAATACTTAAATATGTTTTAAATAATTTATGAGTACACATATATAAATATACCAATATTAAAGTACTGTCATAAATAAATTGCAGTAATTCCAGCGACTCCCATGCTCTGCGGTCATTGGCTGTATGCGCACAACGCCAACTGCCGCATTAGAGGTGGCTCTTGGTCTGTTCATACAGCAGGAGGCAGTCATGGCGAATATTAGACTCAGACAAATTATGGGATCAATTAGTGGAATACGAACCACTAATAGCAGCCCCATGTGACAAGATCCAAATCCAAAGAGATACCACATTCAGACAAGAAAATGACCAAGACCAATCTGGTATAAACGAAGGCCGAATTTACACGAAAGCGCAGACGGTTCTAAGACGGGGTCATGCACTGGTGCCGGAGTGCCGGAGTTCATGTTTAGGTCTCACAAGACCTAAACATGAACATATCACTAGCGTTAGGCCAAAACAGTTCCATATTCCAATACGATGTATTCCAATGATCTCGATTCAAAATTAAATTGGAAATCTCAAGTGGAAGACATTTGTACTAAACTCAATAATTCTCTTATGCATTATTTAGACTTGGAACAGTTGTGAACCAATCTGCTGTCATCACTGCATGCCACGGTTATGTCTAATATTTAGAACCCAAAAGAGGTGTGTAAGAGCCATTGTGAATTTACAACAGACGGATAAGTTGTAAACCATTTTTATTAGTCTGAAACTGTTAACGCTTCCATGCCTTTACGTACATGAGGTCTTTGTTATTACACATATTTCTTTATTTTAGTGCCTTCAGAGTAACCGTAATAATCACAAAATATGTTTTCCATCAAACAAAACAGTGCAATTTAGCTACAGAATATTTTGCATGACGATTCGAATTTATACTGTAGTAGGTATACTACAGTGTGAAAGACTATCTCGAAGACAAATTTGAAATCGAATAGTTGACTGTTGCATGGTTTATAACTAAATAGACTCACATAATAAAAACAAAAAGTATGACATGGATTACATTAAATAAATTCATATTCATATTATTTTTGATTGTGTGTGAACTCTGTGTATCTGTGTGAAGTCTAATTATAACTAGAGCATGTTTAAATAATTTAATATTAAAGTACCTAATGAAATGTGATAAATATTGCTTGCCAAATAGCGGAACATAGCTGCACTAAATGTTTATTCTATTACTGATAAAACTATGTTAACACCAATAGTAATAACCTGTATTCGCAATAAACTATTTCAATTTGAAATTTGAATTCGAATGTGTGGCAATACTTACGTCGCCACTAAGGCCATGTATTGAGATGGTCAGACAGCATGGCCGTGTTAAAGGCATTGGAGGGCAACACAATGACTTGTGATATTGTCTTCGAATGACATCAAGAATTGAAGCAGCTTGCCACAACAAATGGGATACTCCTCCAATGGATTAAAGGGCACAAATTTACACGGGAATGATGCCGCAGATGAGCTGGCAAAAAGGGGGTCCGCAACACCACTGCCACTACCTTTCAATCAAATAAGATCCTGGGCTAGACAACGTACTTGTGGCCGCGATAGACATACTATTTTGATTGTTTGAAGTAATTTGATTATTAAATTACTTATTCAAAAGGTTTAAATTACTCAAATTATTGTGTTGTGTCCTGAATAAAGCCTATTAGAATTATTATGATTTATTCAGTTAGTTTTATATGCCAAATACAACTTGATTTCAATTGAATTGTGGTTGCACCGCCATCTGCTGGCGGTTTCCGAGAGAATATTATGTTTCATATTAAATAAAGGTAGTTTTAGTAAAATAAGTCATCTAAAGAAATGTTAATCTTTTATGTTTATCTTTTATATTATCTAAATATCTTTTATATTATAGCTATATTTAGGCATTACTTTGTAAAGTTATGATTTATTTGTTGATAAAATATACTGTAGTTGCTTTAACCGTTGTACAAATTAAAAATACAGGATGTCATAGTGAAACGACACATTAGACTAGCAATCGCATAACAATAAACAAGTAATTGTGTGTTTTGTTGACATGGACTCCGAAAGAGCTGACATACCCGTTAAGCACATAACCGGTGGCAAAACTCACCCGGCTGCAGACAGACAGTCCAAACTGGACTTATCAGTCTTAGCAGACTAGATATCCGAATAGTTATAGGACCTATAACAGGGACCTAGCCCTGAACCGATAACTATTCACTATTAATACGACGGACAGCCCTCTTTGTAAAAGTGTCTGAAAGTAGAAGAAACGGCCACCCATGCAATCCTGGAATGCAAGGGAGTGGCCACACAACGGGCAGGTATCATACCTGATACAAAAAACTTTAATTCTTGTTTACTTTCAATTTCCTTTCATTGGTTCGATAAAACCAAACCAAGAAACCTAAAAAAACAAAGGCACGATGCGAGCCGGTCGGTCTGAATCGTACCTATGACCTCTGTCTTGTCCTGATAACATTACTAGAATTGACGTCCACTTCATTTATCATAATTTATTTTGCTTTGAGAATGTTTTTCTTTGTTCTGAGATTAATATCTTTTTTTATTTTAATCTTTTAAAATAAATTTTGAAGTGAAAACTTCTTTAGCGGCGTTGTAGGGGAAGGTGTTATACCTGTGGACATTTGTCGGATTTTGAATGAAAATATGGTTTAATGATTTAATTTTTATTTATTAGCCGTAAAGTATTAGAAATGTTGTTCCAAGATTAGTTAACACTTAAAAATTAGCAGTCTTTAGTTTTGTACGAATTATGTTGATTAAAATAAACCAGTTTTTTTTTAATCACTAAATTTGTCCACAGGTACATCTTATGATTGTACCTCTGGACAGAAATACTTGTACCTATGGACGGCAATGTACCTATGGACAGATCACTTATCCTTACATAATAATTCTATAAAAATCAGCAAAAATAAATAGAATATCTTTATAAATCAACTTTAACATTAAAGAATCAATTATTCATTTTGGTTTTGGCATCTAAATAATTTTTATATAGTTAAGGCAGAATCATCAGAGGCATCTGAATCACCATCATCTAAAATATAACACTTTTGATATAAGAAGTCTGACTCATCATCTGATTCAAAATTATCTAAATGTGATCTTGATACACATTTCTGGTGATATTTCAAATCGCATTGAGAGCAATTGAGCAGTTTGTAAACATTTTCATGTCTTTTACATCCCATACACATGGTTTAAGGTAACTGCTCATCTTGAAGAATTGTGACCCTTTTTTCTGCAGATTAAATTTTTATTTTTATCTAAATATTCTGCAAGCTGTTTTTTCTACTTCCTCATCAAATACTTTCTTCACGTCATTACTCAAAATAATTCTCCTTATTCGTGTGAAGGTCTTTAAATATCGTAGATTTTGGTATTGTATATTTTTCTGCAACTTTTCGCAATGAACATCCAGTTCTTGCCTGTTTAATTGCCTCAGATAACGTCTCTGTACACAACCTACGTCGCGTTTTTCCGTCCTTACTACGAGGCACTGAAAAATGGAAAAAAATGAAATTCTAAATCGTAATATGCTGATTAAATAAGAAATTCGAACTAAAATTTGTACCTGTGGACAGTCCATAGGTACATACACTTCGATGTCCACAGGTACAAATCAGACAGTACAACCTAAAAATGTATTACCGGCATGATAGGTACTAGTTTACACCGTTATATCGCTGTAAATGGATGTTTAACTACATGTACTACAGTATGACTAAAAATGATCATCTATATTCTGCATATGTTCACAAAAAAATTGGACAAAAAAGAGATAAATACTTACTTTTTTGAGCGAACACCCTTAACGGTCTGTCACCGGTCACACAACAAAAGATACAAAATGGCAGCAAGTCAATGTTGCCACACATCAAAAATACTTTATGTTCATGTTTAGGTCTCACAAGACCTAAACATGAACATATCACTAGCGTTAGGCCAAAACAGTTCCATATTCCAATACGATGTATTCCAATGATCTCGATTCAAAATTAAATTGGAAATCTCAAGTGGAAGACATTTGTACTAAACTCAATAATTCTCTTATGCATTATTTAGACTTGGAACAGTTGTGAACCAATCTGCTGTCATCACTGCATGCCACGGTTATGTCTAATATTTAGAACCCAAAAGAGGTGTGTAAGAGCCATTGTGAATTTACAACAGACGGATAAGTTGTAAACCATTTTTATTAGTCTGAAACTGTTAACGCTTCCATGCCTTTACGTACATGAGGTCTTTGTTATTACACATATTTCTTTATTTTAGTGCCTTCAGAGTAACCGTAATAATCACAAAATATGTTTTCCATCAAACAAAACAGTGCAATTTAGCTACAGAATATTTTGCATGACGATTCGAATTTATACTGTAGTAGGTATACTACAGTGTGAAAGACTATCTCGAAGACAAATTTGAAATCGAATAGTTGACTGTTGCATGGTTTATAACTAAATAGACTCACATAATAAAAACAAAAAGTATGACATGGATTACATTAAATAAATTCATATTCATATTATTTTTGATTGTGTGTGAACTCTGTGTATCTGTGTGAAGTCTAATTATAACTAGAGCATGTTTAAATAATTTAATATTAAAGTACCTAATGAAATGTGATAAATATTGCTTGCCAAATAGCGGAACATAGCTGCACTAAATGTTTATTCTATTACTGATAAAACTATGTTAACACCAATAGTAATAACCTGTATTCGCAATAAACTATTTCAATTTGAAATTTGAATTCGAATGTGTGGCAATACTTACGTCGCCACTAAGGCCATGTATTGAGATGGTCAGACAGCATGGCCGTGTTAAAGGCATTGGAGGGCAACACAATGACTTGTGATATTGTCTTCGAATGACATCAAGAATTGAAGCAGCTTGCCACAACAAATGGGATACTCCTCCAATGGATTAAAGGGCACAAATTTACACGGGAATGATGCCGCAGATGAGCTGGCAAAAAGGGGGTCCGCAACACCACTGCCACTACCTTTCAATCAAATAAGATCCTGGGCTAGACAACGTACTTGTGGCCGCGATAGACATACTATTTTGATTGTTTGAAGTAATTTGATTATTAAATTACTTATTCAAAAGGTTTAAATTACTCAAATTATTGTGTTGTGTCCTGAATAAAGCCTATTAGAATTATTATGATTTATTCAGTTAGTTTTATATGCCAAATACAACTTGATTTCAATTGAATTGTGGTTGCACCGCCATCTGCTGGCGGTTTCCGAGAGAATATTATGTTTCATATTAAATAAAGGTAGTTTTAGTAAAATAAGTCATCTAAAGAAATGTTAATCTTTTATGTTTATCTTTTATATTATCTAAATATCTTTTATATTATAGCTATATTTAGGCATTACTTTGTAAAGTTATGATTTATTTGTTGATAAAATATACTGTAGTTGCTTTAACCGTTGTACAAATTAAAAATACAGGATGTCATAGTGAAACGACACATTAGACTAGCAATCGCATAACAATAAACAAGTAATTGTGTGTTTTGTTGACATGGACTCCGAAAGAGCTGACATACCCGTTAAGCACATAACCGGTGGCAAAACTCACCCGGCTGCAGACAGACAGTCCAAACTGGACTTATCAGTCTTAGCAGACTAGATATCCGAATAGTTATAGGACCTATAACAGGGACCTAGCCCTGAACCGATAACTATTCACTATTAATACGACGGACAGCCCTCTTTGTAAAAGTGTCTGAAAGTAGAAGAAACGGCCACCCATGCAATCCTGGAATGCAAGGGAGTGGCCACACAACGGGCAGGTATCATACCTGATACAAAAAATCGCTTCTGGAAGCCTGTGTATGCCCCAGGAGGCTTCTGCGTTTCTAGAGAGAGCTTGGTTGGCCACCTAGCCAACCTTTCCTCGACGCATAAAAGACCATTCTTGAGTCTAAATGCGGAAATCGGAGCTCACTACCAATACCAATATTAAATACATACAATATATTACACAAATAGCCAATAAATCTAATCTACTACTACTAAATAGTAAGTTTTGGCTTATTGTTTCCTTTTATAAGACTAAGGTAAGATTCAGACCAAACGGCTCGCATAGGGTAAGTCCGGAACGGATGCGAACCCGTAGCTGTACGCTGTGTGTGAACAACTTCGAACACGTTATAAATACAATCGAATTATTGGACTAAGAAAATTAGTTTTGCTTCCATTACTTATTAACCTTATTACGTTCTTGTAGTTTAGTGTACACAGCTTGAATGACACGATTGACTGCACCGCTTATATCTGTTCGCAGTCGGGACCCATTCAGTGATCACGGAATGTGAATGTGACGAAAATTGGAACTTTAATTCTTGTTTACTTTCAATTTCCTTTCATTGGTTCGATAAAACCAAACCAAGAAACCTAAAAAAACAAAGGCACGATGCGAGCCGGTCGGTCTGAATCGTACCTATGACCTCTGTCTTGTCCTGATAACATTACTAGAATTGACGTCCACTTCATTTATCATAATTTATTTTGCTTTGAGAATGTTTTTCTTTGTTCTGAGATTAATATCTTTTTTTATTTTAATCTTTTAAAATAAATTTTGAAGTGAAAACTTCTTTAGCGGCGTTGTAGGGGAAGGTGTTATACCTGTGGACATTTGTCGGATTTTGAATGAAAATATGGTTTAATGATTTAATTTTTATTTATTAGCCGTAAAGTATTAGAAATGTTGTTCCAAGATTAGTTAACACTTAAAAATTAGCAGTCTTTAGTTTTGTACGAATTATGTTGATTAAAATAAACCAGTTTTTTTTTAATCACTAAATTTGTCCACAGGTACATCTTATGATTGTACCTCTGGACAGAAATACTTGTACCTATGGACGGCAATGTACCTATGGACAGATCACTTATCCTTACATAATAATTCTATAAAAATCAGCAAAAATAAATAGAATATCTTTATAAATCAACTTTAACATTAAAGAATCAATTATTCATTTTGGTTTTGGCATCTAAATAATTTTTATATAGTTAAGGCAGAATCATCAGAGGCATCTGAATCACCATCATCTAAAATATAACACTTTTGATATAAGAAGTCTGACTCATCATCTGATTCAAAATTATCTAAATGTGATCTTGATACACATTTCTGGTGATATTTCAAATCGCATTGAGAGCAATTGAGCAGTTTGTAAACATTTTCATGTCTTTTACATCCCATACACATGGTTTAAGGTAACTGCTCATCTTGAAGAATTGTGACCCTTTTTTCTGCAGATTAAATTTTTATTTTTATCTAAATATTCTGCAAGCTGTTTTTCTACTTCCTCATCAAATACTTTCTTCACGTCATTACTCAAAATAATTCTCCTTATTCGTGTGAAGGTCTTTAAATATCGTAGATTTTGGTATTGTATATTTTTCTGCAACTTTTCGCAATGAACATCCAGTTCTTGCCTGTTTAATTGCCTCAGATAACGTCTCTGTACACAACCTACGTCGCGTTTTTCCGTCCTTACTACGAGGCACTGAAAAATGGAAAAAAATGAAATTCTAAATCGTAATATGCTGATTAAATAAGAAATTCGAACTAAAATTTGTACCTGTGGACAGTCCATAGGTACATACACTTCGATGTCCACAGGTACAAATCAGACAGTACAACCTAAAAATGTATTACCGGCATGATAGGTACTAGTTTACACCGTTATATCGCTGTAAATGGATGTTTAACTACATGTACTACAGTATGACTAAAAATGATCATCTATATTCTGCATATGTTCACAAAAAAATTGGACAAAAAAGAGATAAATACTTACTTTTTTGAGCGAACACCCTTAACGGTCTGTCACCGGTCACACAACAAAAGATACAAAATGGCAGCAAGTCAATGTTGCCACACATCAAAAATACTTTACGGATGCGTTAAATTCGTTAAATTTCTGTGTTTATTTTTTGAAATATCAATGATGTCCACAGGTAAAACCGTTTATAGGTACAACACCTTCCCTACACTTTTTTGTAATGGGTAAAAAATGATAAACTCGCGTCAGGACACGTGACCTGATCGAAAATTCGTAAGACGAAAACTTCTTTAGCGGCCTTGTACACTTTTTTTGTAATGGGTAAAAAATGTTAAACTGGATTTTTCTGAGATATAAACTTTATAATGTAATATAAATTGTCATGTTTGTGTACGATAGCGCAATAAATAAATATTGTATTCTATCACATAATTGATAGTACTTTTATACTGATAATTAAAGCAGTTCGTACAAAATTATTCCATAACCATTCCAAAATATAAAAAATGCACAACTTTAATATTCAAGTTTTCACTTCTGCCGGCACTCCCGGAGTGCAACCCGTCGTTTTTTCTTTATAATAATTGGTTGATTAGATAGTATATATATATAGATAGATAGTAAAAAAATTGCGAAACAAACAAACAGACAGACTCACATTTGCATTTATAATATTCGCTTGGATAAGGGGCTTTTATGCATTACGTGGAAATCTTACCATTTTTTGAGAAGATTGTGAACTTGTCCTTTGTCATGAATGTTAAACATTAGACCCTTAGGCCTTTTATAAACAATGCCGAAGTACTTGCAGGACGTCATCACAGTGGGCGTTTTAATGATCGGTAAATACTGTTCAATATATTGACTAAGTAGAGTATAATATAATTTCTCATTTGCGTTCTGTAAAAGAAATCAGATGTGAAAGTTAAATATGTATGTAATAAATTTAATGAAAAGTAAAGATCAAGAAAAAAAATGAATTACTATATTTACTATTTAACATAATTCAAGTTCGAATGCCGAATTTCAACTTTGTGGGTCTTACCCTTTTTTTTTTTTTTAATTTGTGGAAATCCCCTCGGACCGTCACCCCACCGGGGTTTGCGGCGGGGTAGTGTGTCGGACTCTGACCGACTAAAACCACACGGTGTGCCACTCTGCGCCTGTAATAGGAGGGATCCGGGAACAGCTGTTATTAAGACATCCGGACCCCTCCTAGCGCCGGCCCGCTCCTGTTGCGGGCCCCGTCTCAAAATTTTCCTCTCTTTAGGCGACGTCCGGCACGCGCGGACGCCGCCCCCTCGCGGCTGGCCAAACTAATGCAGGTGGAGGGGAAACCCACCCCTTCCACCCGCGGCCACACTCAGGGCGGCATGAGGCGGTGATAGGCGGGCCTCCGCCGCCCGGTTCGCCGGCGGCGGATCGGGTCCGAGTGGAGGTTGTCCTCCCGGGCCTTCTCCGCCGCCTCCTTCTGCGAGATTACTTCCTCGCAGAAGGTTGCGACCGCGGTAAAACAACTGTCGCTACCGGCCATGGAGCGTACTACGGCCGGCAGCGAGAGATCCACTCCGATGACTGCAGTGAGGGCCCGGCGCTGCGTCGCCCATGCGGGGCAGACCGCCAGCGTGTGCTGGGCCGAGTCCTCACTGCAGTCGCAGTGGTGGCAGGCGGGACTCAGTTCCCTCCTAGCGACCGAGTGCAGGTACTTTCCGAAGCAACCGTGCCCGGAAAGCACCTGCGTGAGCCGGAAGGTAAGGGTCCCGTGCTGCCGCCCTGCCCACTCGGCGATGACCGGCTGGAGAGCCTCCACGGCGGCGAAGCCAGGGTGTGGAGTCTCCAGCCGGAACGACCAACGAGCCATCGTGGCTCGGCGAGCGGCTTCGCGCCACTCGCGCACATCCTCGGGCGGAGGGCGAAATCCGCTCTCCGCCCGGGAGTCAGCCACTCGCCGATAAACTTCGGCGAGCACTTCCGCCTCCAAGTCCCACGGGGGAGTTCCGGCCAACGCGCGGGTCTTACCCTAATCTTCCTTGGAGAGGAAGAACAAGAATGCCAGTAATATGTAACCCACGTTAAAAAGAAGCATGATAAAAGATATTATCTATTTTATACAATGAATAATTAAGCTAACAACATTTCAGATAATCCAAGTAATGAGTTAGACTATGGTATGGTGGTATGAGATTCGCCTCTGACCATGGACAGTGGGACCTGTTCGAAACGATAAGTAATTCAGACGTATGTAATACTTATTAAGCGCTTTATTTCCACTTAGTAATAATTATTATAGAACGCGCGATTTTGTAAGCTAGTATAGCCATGAGTTTTTGACTGACCTGTATCTCGCCCAAGTAAAGGTAGGAGCCACATAAAACATTATCTTGATAATCATCTGATAACTTCCAAACGTTCAATTGCCGTTCTAACGTGTTCGAATCTATGTTTAAAAGCTCTTGTAACATTCTCAGTGATTGAGGTTCTTCGTATGATAATTCTTTTGGAATCTGAAATTCGATTAAAATCTTAAGTGCACACAGGAGCATCATTCTCTGCTGTATTTCCAATATGTGGGGGGAATGAAAACAAGATTTTAAATGATAAATATCTTTTGTTATATGCTTACCTTCTTTTGCCGTACATCTTCCAAACGCTCAATTCGTCGTACTTGAGTCAATTTTGGCCTTTGAAATGCATCAGCAGTTTTTGGACAAACCGTAGAAAAGAAGGTTTTACTTTCTCTCGATGTCTTGTTTTATAATGTAATAAAAATAAAATTAATATAATGCAAACAGTATGAATTACTACGTAATCAATTACAAAAAACTAAATTACCCTTTTTACTTGCAACGGGTACGAGTACTCTATTTTGAGACAACTTTTTTTTTTAAGCATTGTTAAGGATATCACAACATTAATTTCTTGTGCAATTAATATTACAAATACAGTAATAACTGTACTTAAATATCCGTTTTGTTCCTGGTGGCTTATTACTGGCATAAATATAGTACTTTATATTTACTAAAATGGGCACTCACGACAAAGAGCTAAAATAAGTTGACTTAGTGTAAGGACAGAATTTTGACATATGTTTAGGATTTACAGAGCACAATTTTTAATATAGCTTTTTGACGAGGTCAAATTCAAGTAAATGTAGAATCGTTGCACCATTTCTAATATATATACAGTAGATTAGTATTAGAATAGAGTAGATTTTGAATAAAATTTTCTGTAAAGCTACTATTTGCTTTTCTTTACGTTGCATTATCTAGAACAAAATTCGGTTCAAATCAATAACTTAAGTTGTAGAATCCTAACATTGCCAGACAGTATGGCCGTCCTAAAAGGAATGGAGGACAACAGAATGACCTCTGGTATTGTCTTCGAATGCCATCAAACAGCTACAGCAAATGGGGTACTTCTCCTATGGATTAAAAGGCACAGTAATTCACACGGGAATGACGCTGCATATGAGGTGGCAACGAGCGGCCGGGCAACCCCGACTACCGGCCTAACCACACTCTTGCCATTCTCTTTGAACCAACTTCGTTCTTGGGCTAGACAGCGTACACGTGAAGTGCACAACCGAAAGTGGAAAAACTCACCCGGCTGCAGACAGTCCAAACTGGGGCTGACTGAAGTCTCACCACGACTTACATTCAGACTGATCAGTCTTAGCAGACTAAATATCTGAATAGTTGTAGGAACTATAACAGCACACCTAACTCCGAACCGACAAATATTCGCCATTAATGCGACGGACAGTCCTCTTTGCAGAGGATTCGTGAAAGCAGAAGAAACGGCCGCCCAGGTAATCTTGGGATGCGAGACAGAGGCCACACAACGGGCAAGTACCATACCGGGTACAAAATCGCTCCTAGAAGCTTGTTAAGGTTCCAGGAGCCTTCAGCGCTTCTGGCAGGAGCTTGGTTGGCTCACCTAGCCAACCTCTCCTAGACGCATAAAGGACCACTCTCGAGTCTAAATGCGAAAATCGGAGCCCACTACCAATACAAATAAGTTGCAGAAAAGTCCATCTTCAACTAGTCTCAAAAATATGAATCGCTTTGGTTTATCTTAGTGCATGCGATTAGCACATTAACTCTTTAGTGCTGATTAGTATTATTGCAAAGGCTTCGGTTGATCAATGAAATACCTACGAATACCTCGAACAGCAACATTTGGCAATTGATCCACGCTGTTTGATCATGAAGAATGTTTAATCCTGTAAATTCCAACAAAGTAATTTGTTTGTGCTATGACTGGATTTTCAAATAAATAAAGAAATTCGATTAAAATCCACATCCTATTGATGAGATATTGTATTAAAAAAGGGCTCGTGCAGCGTGCAAGCGTGCGACTTCGGTCGCGCCGACTTGCAGTGACTTGATAGAACGTATAGAACTAAACGGCTTAACGGTTTTTTTTTGTTATCATTTTTTTTATTTAAAAAGACAACTCCAGTATTAGGAATATTACACTAGTATTTTAATGAACCTTGTTTTTACCTTCGTTGAATTTTTTTGCGTCCGCCCTCGGTTACCCGTTCTACCATTGTAGCCATATCTAGAAAGAAGATTACGAGATTATTAAACCATTTCTATTCATCTATCCATTTATTATATTATTTTACTACACAAAGATATATGTATAATACATACACGGATATAAGGTACATTACAAAACACGTCATTAATTTTATTAAAAAATTAGGTACAATGTTTAGCAAAGGCTACCAGCTCGGTTCGCGCTATGGTAAAGCAGAGCACTGGTTTTCAGCTGACCCCTGACAGTTTTGCGCCAATATTTAGCAATAATGAAACGCACACAGATAGAAAAAACATAAAATGTAATACGGTATATTAAAAAAAATGTATAGCACAATTTCATAACATAATATTTTTTCATGTTAGGTATTGTCGGTATTAGTTGGTTTAGTTTAATTTAGATAATGCACAAAATATAGTTATAGTAAAAGTATTTAAGAAAAAGACACCAAAAAAAGTACTAAAATTAGGGTAACAATTAATGTAGGTTTCTACGACTAAGGAATTCACTATGCAAATGTGTTTTCATAGGTAGTTATTTGGGCCATGTTCTTTCGCAGGTCTTAATTTTTATTTTTTAATAGTTTAACTAGTCGGGCATCTCAGATAAACATACGTGAGAAACCGAAATCGTTTAGTTTTTATGCCCGAAAGATTTTATTCTAACATATTTATTGTTTAAGCTTTTCTGTATAAGGAATTTTTTAACAGTACAACAAGATAAGATACACTTATAATAACAGGACAATAAGATACACTTTTAGAATATCTGTTAATTACCAAAAATCAGACATCGTAGCCTATATTATCAAGTTTCAATATTACTAACTTAAATATTATTAACCAATAATGTATTATAAATCTATATCCAATAATAAAAATACACTTACACCAGGATTCTGTGCAAAAAAGTAAACATTTTAAAAAATAAATATATTTACAGAAAGAAAGTAAAGCTGCAGCAAAATTACCTTTTTGACAACTGCAGGGATTTTTTATTTTTCTGGAAAAGAAAGAAAAAGTATAAAGTAAAAATAAAGACAACAGTATTTCAGCTTAAAACCTTTTTGTCATACGACTAAGATGATAAGGAAGCACATTGGCTTATCGTAAATGGTTATCTTCGTTACTACGAGTATAAACAGAGGACACTAGTATAATAGCTGATAAATGTGCGAGTGAGATACCTAGGCTTCACCAAAACCTGTATGTAGGAAACAGACAGAATTAAACAATTCGAAAAAAATTTAATTAGCACAGCGCAAATTATTACAGCGCAAAATAACTTCATATTAAAAAAATAAAGTGGTTGATTTTTCAACAGGATAATTTAGGTAAAAGTATTAGTTTAAAAAAGTACTTTGGAGAAAATGGATTAGAACATCATGTATCTGAGCTTGGATGTCTAGGCTGCCCAGCGTTTTCTGGGGGGAAGAACACAACTGCGCACAATAAAATATGCTGTACATCACCATCTCAAAAGAGTGAAACCGGCCTTGCTCTTTTAATATAAGACCAAGACGCGGATATCATCTCCATCAGACACATCCTACCTCACCTACCCAGGCTATCATCTGAAACATTACTTTGTTACTTTGTTGAAGTATGCGTGTACTTTAGAGATGATATCAGTTGGGCCGCCTGGGCAATCTTGAAGGACGGGACCTCACCATCTTGTAACTCCGTGTAGTCAGCGATGACCATCCCCGTCTTAGCATTCTTAGCAACTCTGGTCGCATATGGAATACTGTTCTTATCTCTATTCAGGGGCACCCCAGTACCAGCTTCTCCCTTTGGACCAAATCCAGCGAAGAGCGACTCAAATCGTCGATATCCAAAACATCTCCGATCGGCTCGATAGAGATGTAACTTCACTCTACATTCTCTATAGTATATTTCATGAAGAGTGCCGGCGGACTAATCCCGACCGCAACTTTCCACCATCGTTTCACACGTCAAAATTTTCATCCCCATCGCTTGGATAATTTGCAATCCACCACTGCGCGCTGTTCAAGACACTTTTTTGCCTTTTTGTCACGTTCCTTCAGGGACCCATAAAAAAAATGTTTCAAATTCGACCTCCACCGTGGCTCTAGTTTTGACTAACGGATTGTCTATCGATTCGTTTGCATGAATGCATTCTAATCAATACAATTTAGAGGATTTTTGTATAGCAAGTAGCTTTTTTCCCCATAATTTAGCTTTAATCGCTTAATTAACTCTCGGTTAAACCACGTTAATAATTTTCGTAAATGGAAAGATATACAATATATTCTAGCTGTCTTTAGACGGTAAGTAATAAAAAAGTCTACATTTACTAGACTACGTTCGGTACATGCAAAGTAAATTTTTTCTGTCCGTCTTATTTTTTACTAACTTCTAGACCTTTTGGAACAAGTATATAATTGTAACAGTATATAAATATGTAACCAACATATTACAATCCTTCAAAATAAGGTACTATTATTGTGGAGGTAGGTATCGAATAGTACATTATTTGAATTTAAATATATATAATATTATATCTGAATCCTATAAAGATCAGAATGATTAATGCTCATAGCAATACCAGGATTTTGTACCCACATGCATACGAAGATTGATGTACGTATCACAGGACAAGCATACAAAGTGTGTTTAGAGCGTCATGTCATTACTTTGAACATCGTCGACATATGGCGGCCTATCCCGCACTTAAACATCTTTTAATATGGTTTACCTTGGAATATACCGATATTATGCTGTGTATGTAGATTTATTCCTTTTACAATAGTTTATTTTCTTGTAAAAACGATTTAAAAAAAAAACGGTGAAACCTTAATGGTGAAACCTCATATTGCTTACTCAATAGAGGTATGGGGATCAGCTGCTAAAACACATCTTAATATGCTACCAAGGGCTCGTTGTCCGTGTGGTGACGGATTAAGAATACAGAGTGTCACCACCCCTATTCACCCTGTGGGTGTCGTAAAAGCCGACTAAGGAATTAAACTACACAGGACAACAGCACTACAAAGAGAAGGAAAACTTCGGCTCAAAAAATCGGCTCAAAATTGACACAGATATTGCGGTGTAAATACTATTATACTAGGGATTTCCGTTTCGGGGTACACCTAGTTCCCCGGCTACTGGTACCCGAGACGGAGTTCAATTTTTCCGACATAACCACCTCGGTGGTATCCGAGGGGATATCTACACAGAAAAAAGGTGTGAATATTATGTTTTTGTTGTTTAAACCGGTAAACTCACTCACTCTGTGAAAGGCAACGAAAGAATTGCTTAGCACCGTTTTTCTGTAAGACCGTGGTAGCACTCCGATCGAGCCGGCCCATTCGTGCCGAAGTAAAGCTCTCCCACGGTAAAAAGTAAGGAGAATGCCAATTTTTGTAGGGGTATCGTTGTCAACGTGGGTAAAAACGAATTAACTCTGAAGAGTCTACTTCTTGTTTCAATTTTCTCTACCAATTAAATTTTGTCGATGTTTAACACTATGACTAAGTTGACAATGACACGGACATTCCATAATTCGGTGCAGTAACGACCTCACTCTAAGTGTTTTGATTTTCTAAAATACGCAATATTTATTTCATAAAAAAACACAAGTGGGACAAAATAAAATGATTTAATAAAAGTGTTTTATTATTATAACGATTTTTTGTATTATATAAGGATGTTTATCCAGACAACAGCTAAGAATAACAAGGTAAACAAGATTTTTGTGCCATTAATGTCAGTGCATGAAAATAACTTGCAAGTGTAACGGAACGAAAAAAATATCGGATATTAACTTTTGTTTGACGGATCTAACATTTCTTGCAGAAGTAGGTAACTGACAATAATTTAATAAAAAAAAAAAAACTTTTTATAATGCAATTCAAGAAGAGGGTCTAACATCAGTATTATCACAATTAAACATATAAATAAAACATTACTGTTGGTATAAATGTACCTGTGACGTAATATGGTACGAGGTGGGGCGTTCTCCTTTAACCAAATCTCGGGACAGTACTTTATCCCAGTGAACATGTATAAGAAAAATCTTGATAATCGTAAAAGAACTTATATAAACATTTTTTTTTTGTTAAAATAATAAAATACATAATAACATGAAATAAAGAACCATTTCACGTTTACAGGGTGGAATAATTAACAACCAAAGGAGCCCTCAACGAGTTGGGATGTGCGTCTACATCAAACTTTTAAATTAATGCCTGGGTCTCCCTGACGTAGTGTATCAACACAAAATCCCACTTAAATGCTCGAGACCCCGTATCCGTCGTTATAAAGTGAGGCATAACCGCGTTAAACTCCTGTCAGCTACTGAATAATATAATCTATAGGATTTTTACATGAAGATTATATGGTAATTAATGTTTTTAGTTTCAACATCTGATATGTGTCCCCTACTGAAATCGAGGCTTTACTTTGTCTGTGGTATATAATGGTATATACGTCGTGTATGGTCCCAAATCTATATATTAATATGTGAAGCAAAAACTTTGTAACCCTTTTTAAGAAAATTGCGGGAACGGATGGACGTGAAATTTGACACAGTTGAAGTGTATATGGAGAAGTGCATATAGATATTTTTTTATATGCAATGCATAAGAAATACATTAAATTGATTAAAATAAACATTACACAAAATACTGCTTGAATGACACACAATCTTTGATTATAAAGGTATAGTCTTTTACAAAAGAACCCTAATGATGTTCAAACTTAAAAATTAAATGAATTATGGTCGGATTACGACCACTGGGCGACCACTATAGTTAATATAAATGCATGAAACATGTTTTTGGATATCTAATGTGGTGACATATTATGTTACGCAAAAGTTCGTTCATATTTCAAACATAAAACAAAACGCTGTTTTAAATAAAATTGTAGCCAAAAGTCAAAGTCTGTGCTTTTATGATGTACCCGAGAAGTTAGTGTTAAAACTGTAATCTTTGTAACTTTGCTTATTATGCCAACAAAAAAAAATGACTTTACAGACTACATTTATTAACCTTAACAGTTTCAACACTGCCCATAATAGTTCATAACTTATAAACTTATTACATTGGAATGTTTGATGAAAGCGGACACAAGGCAGCTTGAGCATAGATTATTATCTTAGCGTTTGCATGATACGTGTGTTTGAGACTGTTACAAATTTGAGTATGTAAATGGTAAGTAAATGCAAAACCATCAATATAATAAATGTTTGTGATTTTTGAATTAGCGCGGGTAGTCTCTGATAGACATATTTTAGATCGGGTACAGATCGCATGTTTACTGAGATGGAGTAAGGTAACAAGCACCTGTAGTAAGGAGGATGCAATGAAAGTGGAAGAGACCCATCGATGTAGATCAGGATCAAGGTTTTCTGCGTAGAACGGAATAAAAACGTTTATGTAATGTTCAAAAATACAAGATAATACATGTATATGTACATGTTTATTGATTCTTTATAAATCTAAAGTTTTAAAGTTTTAGATAATACTTTATTACATACATTTTATATGTTCTTGCTGACAAGTATATAGTCTCAATAAGTGATATATGTTTAATTTTTAGGTAGATATCCTCGGAGAAGTTAGTAAAATCGCTAAGAAAGATCTCCACAATGACAACATATCCTAATATAACCAGTAACTCCATCCAACCGCGTGGCATACACAAAAAATACAGATCTATATATTTCACAGCGAAACTAAATCAAATTGAAGGTACAATGAAGGTCATTGACACGCATGGTTATGTCAAAAGCAGTTTTAGTATAATGACATTGCGTGATACTCCTGATAATTTATATGTATATATATATATATATATACACACATCAGGTCTGTTCGTGTAAACACTTAGTCACGCAGGAACACATTCGCTGCAAACTTAAAATAATTAATATAATGTTAACAGGCCTGGCTC